CACGAACAAAAACTCGTTGCAACACTTTGCGACGATACTCCTCGAAAGTTTCGAATCGAGTCTGTCTTTGCCGATTGTAATCGAGATGAATTGCAGCATCCACACATCTCCAAGTGTTCATACTCGTATTCAATTCTGCTGCTGCTTCCACAATATTTTGCACCCTGTGAGAACTGTCAAGATAGGATAGGTGCGCAAGTGTTTTTTTCCAACCAATAGATTCAACAGAGTCATACATGGTAATGTTAAAATTAGAAGAACTTGGTTGTTCCAATGGTCCTGTATGGACATGCAGATGGTCTCTTGATAGCGTATGAGCGAGCACAACACAACTGACAGGACACAGAGTAGTCGTAGCAGCTGGCAAAGCAGAAACAACAACAGAAGTAGTGACAATCAACGTTGACATATTGGAGGGTGAAGCATAATCCGCAAGACGTTGAAAATTTGGAGGAGATGTTGCTTGAAGGGGGAGTCTACGGACCGGAGCGGAATGAGGAGTGGAAAAAGCAACCACAGGAGGAATCCTTTTGAGAAGTTGTTGTATCCGTGAATATCTGTGAAAGGGTTGGGGAATGGTCCCTTCTGTCGGACAATGTGGCAAATATAATGTCATCCTAATAATCTCCTCATTAGAGAGAGTCACGAACTCATAGGTCAAAAGTGATTGCAATATGGAAGAAGCCTCAAAATCCGAAACATTCAACGAGTCTAAAGGAAGATGGAATCGTCGTTCTAACCGTATATCAGTGAGTTTGTTTTTTTTCCACTCCAGGAAGTTGTCCCATATTCGTCCATCTTTTACGATTGTGACACTTTTGACAAACATTTCAAAAAGCACCTTAGTCGATACATTTTGGATGTCAACCTTCTTCGCATAATCAAACCATCTAGCAAGGTAAGCCCGCGGATTCGGAGTGCGGATTGTGGGTGCATCGTTATCATCGGGCACCACAATAACCCCCGTAGGATTTTGTGATTGCGATGTGGCGCAAACATCTCTTTCTCGTTCACTGCGTTGAGATTGCGAACACGAATCATGAACACGTACACGTCCAGCGAGCGGTGCATAAAACGGAAGCGATGAAAGTGCATCATCAGGGAACACATTCAGTGCTCTCATAATCTCAGTCCCCATTTCATAAACAACAGGTTGTCGTCCCACCTGATTATCAGCCAAGGTAGGCTCCGACACTTCGGGGGAATCCAAAAGATTAGTTTTCGCACCACGACTCTTTCTTCTCTTGAATGTAGATTCAACACAGTCTTTTTTCCAATTGCCCGTAACGTTATCATCCTCATCATCGACAAATGTAAGGTTAATAGGCCTACTCGACTGACCTCTACGCGAACCATCCTCATCGACACGACAATCGTCACCTTTCCTCCACAACCATGTTCTCAGCATCATTAAGGGTATTCCCTTGCGAACATCGACGTTCAACCTCACAAAAAACAGGATGATCGTGCCGAGGATGTTCACTTCCACGATTCACCGACCTCTCATCATTTCACTTTTTTTCGACCTCTCTGAATGTTCTGCTCTGACTTTTGACGTAACATTCGTATCATATTGAGTGGTATTGTTGTTTCTCATTGCTTTCCTCTTAGCACGAGTGTCATACTTATGCGGCATTCGGGAGTCGCATGCAAAGAAATAATATGACATAATTATTTGGAATGTCAAAGCTTGATGAAAAAAAAAAAAAAGAACTTACCCAAAAGTTCACGATATACAATACCTTTCGTTAAAAAATTATTATCAGGCAACGCAACACGGATGTTGTTAGGATGACCAACACACGACAAAGCAACGTACAATTCGTCATGTGCAAAAATCGGTTTGCGGAGCCTAACCCGACACGTTATACAGTTCGTTCTTGCAACTTGTTAATTGTTACAGCAAAAGCAAAACAGACTGAGAATTGCCTCCCAAACCATTTGAGCCTAGTTGTCTCACCATCGCTGGTCAGATCAATCTTGGGGATCATTGTTGTTTTACCCGTGTGCATTATTGTCACTTCCAACAAATCATCATTAACGATTTTCTTCAGAATCGGTCTTATACCGTTGCAAAGTTTTTGCTTCGGTGACAAATTTCGCAAAAGCATCACAAGCACACCAATTTTTAAGCGCAGCTTGTGAGGTGGAAGGCCAGATTCGTCGAGAGAATTCAAAACCTTCCGTTCAATAGCAAGCCCAGTATCATCCGAATCAGGGTAATCAACACTGAAAAGGGCACGCACCTCCCCAGGGAAGTCGTCAAGAACACGGTTGTTAACAAAACCAGTATCGTCATTAGTAGGGCATAAAATCAATCGAGGCTATAAATACTCGACATCCCCCACATGGTTGGACAAATCATCAAACATCCATGAAATCAATTCATCAATTGGTTTATCCGTATAAATCTCATGTGGTAATCTGACCGAAGCAGGATCATTAAGAACAACACGAGGATGGTCGTCATTCCCAATGCGCATCAAAAAGTGGGCATACATTCGTGTCATTTCATCTTTCCCTAAGTTTAAGATTCACATATTTTTGGTCAGTTGATGAACCTCAAAAAGTTTCCACAAAGGAGACATTTTCATGGACGCATTAATTTGTTGTTCCCTCGATCTGTGTTTCACAACGGGCAAACCCTGTCTAAAATCTCCAGCTATAAGTAAAATTTTTCCACCAAACGGCTCGGCATTGTTACAGAGGTCCCAAAACGTAATGTCAAGAGTTTCCAAGTGAAACTTGTTACTCATCAGAGCCTCGTCCCAAACAATCAAGTCGGCACAACGGATAAGCTCCGCAAGATTACTTTGTTTCAGAATCAAGAAGGGACGCTTGTTATCAGGTTTCAAATGTGCGTGAAATCGTGAGTGAAACGTTCGACCCCCCGTCAAAAGAGTCGCCGCTATGCTACTGGACACGACGGTCAGTGCAATAGCAGAACGTGACCTGATGCCTGCCAAAATCGTTTCAATGCAAAAAGTATTTCCTGTTCCAATCGGTGCATCGACAAAAGCACGCAACGGTCTTTTCTTTTGCACAGCCCGAATGACTCTTTCCACCAACACTCGTTGATGTGGAGGAAAACGTTGAAAATTAGAGTCATATTTGCGTTGCATTTAGATCGGATCATACGACAAC